TTTACGTGATGACCCCGTGCATGCATGCGTGTGTGTTTGATCGGCATTTTTCCTCCGAATCTAATGATGATGATAAATGAGATGACCCCCCTAAAAAAAATTCATTAATTCGTTGAGGACCATGACTGGCACACTCGTTTTGGGATACTGGCTGTCGTCGTCATTTCGGGGTTGCTAACTAATTAGAGAGCAAGATGAAAATTAATTTATTGCTTTGCCCTGGCTTAGCTCGGCGAGAGAGAGGGGGGAGTGCGGCACACATAGGAATTGCTTGGCCTCTAAAGATAAAAATCCTAGTTTTATTGTGAACATTTGCCGCCATGGCATTGATTCTATGTGCCTGGGTCGTTTTTCTGTTTGTCGTGATAAGAAATCGTTTTGGGTTCACCCCTTTTTTTCGAAGCAGTTTGGTTTTGGATTATTGCTTTGCTTTCATTGGAACAGGGCTTAGTTGTTGGGACGTGTCAAAATAGTTTAATGCATTGATTAGTTCGGCTTTTCTGTTTTCTCTCCATCATTTCTTTTGGGTTTTTGTTCTTCTTTTTCATTTCATCCCGTGTGGTTGTTGTTGTCGCTTATCTAAGTCATTGTGTCTACATCATCATGAAAACTGTTGGACAAATACGACATTACTAATCCCAATGGTAATCAGTGACACACCACCACTGCCACCACCTGCTTAGCGCTCTTAGGAAAGTAACATCGATGGTTATCTTGGACGTAGGGCGGATTTTCTTTGCTGCTGTTTTTAAATGGTGGCTTATTTATTTTTAAATAATCCTATTTCAAAAAATTTTAAAAATAAAATCATAAAATAAACACAATTTCATTCTATTCTAAGCGGGTATTGTATCAAAGGTTCCCTTCGAAATAGATTTAGATCTTTAAAGGCTGTAGCTTTGCCCACCGCTAAATAGTACTTCTATCAATCATTACTAAAATTCATGGCGTCCAATTTCCGCAACCACTGAAATTAATCTTGGCTGGTGATTAATTTTTGTGGCAATGCCAGGCAGTCAGCCAACCAGCTAGGCCAGTGGTGGTGGTGATGGTGCCAGAGCGTGTCCATAATTACCCCTTAATCACTTGAATGTGTTGTTTGCCTGTGTTACATTTCAAATTGTTTTGGCGTTCAGCAGGTCCCCCTCCCGATTTGGAATGGCAAAAAAACGCGACGATATAAAGTTTGTGGTTAGAGCAATTGTTCATAAAAATTTCCTTTTTTCTGGTCACACACACGCGCGGGCTCGTAGACATATATATGTATAAGCGTCTTAATTAGTTTTGTTGTGCCTTGTTGCTGTGATAAAAGTCCAAGCAATTAAGCCATGCGCCACTGGGTGGGTGGCTGTTATTAATGTACGACGCCTCGTAAATTTTCCCAAATTTTTATGAATACATATATTTGCAATTTAAATTTAGAAGAAGATATCAGCAGAAAGCAGCGGTTTATTGCTGTTGGAGTTCAGTTTAAATTAATGTGTAAAATTTATTATTTTGAAAAATTGAAGAGATAGAACTTTAATCTTGAAAAAGTTAAAGTTTTTAGAGTCAGTTTGATTGCCTCTCCTTATCTTTTGATTTGGATTTCTGAAAATAGCTTAACTGAGGCCTTAGGAATCGCAGCGATGGAAAGTATTTTTTAAAAATATTAAAGCAGATAGTCTGTGGGACAAGGACAGACAAAGTTCTACCAAAAAAAAAAAAAAAAAAAAAAAAAAACAACAGTAAAGAAAGTCCGATTTTATGATACCCTACACCACTTTGCTAATTTAGTTGATCTCCACATAACAATTTAAAGTTTTTATGGGAGAATTCAATCATACACCCTATGATTATAATTATAATTTAAAATTCATATTACGGCTGTGGTAACAAATACAAGAAATCGGAAGAACAATATATGTGGGAGCTATAGCTATATCTGAACCGATCTTCACCAAATTTGGTATACTACCTTCTACACTCAATTCGGTCGTGCCAAATTCCATCTCATTTGGGAAAATATTAGACGTTTGGTGCACAATAAAAGGTAAATCGGACGAAGTTATATATGGGAGCTATATCCAAATCTAAACCGATCTCGATAAAATTTAGCAAAGGTATTTCTGAGCTGCATTTGATATATTTGCCTAAATATTGTTGTTACAGAGTGCATATTACGGCTGCGGAGGACAAAATTAAGAAATCGGATAAACAATATATATGGGAGCTATAGCTATATCTGAACCGATTTCTATCAAATTTGACATACTTATTTTCAGGCCTAATTTGGTTGTATGTGCAAAATTGCATACTATTTGGGCTGATATTACACGTTTGGTGCACAATAAAAGGCAGATCAGACGAAGATATATATGGGAGCTATATCTAATTTGTTACCGATTATCTCCAATTTCAATAGGGTTCGTCCTTGGGCCAAACAAATATTTTTTGGAAAATTTCATCTCAATCGGATAATAAATGCGACCTGCATTTTGTTCACAAGAATACATGGGCAGATGGATGAACGGACGGACGGACAGACGGACTGACATGCATAAATCAACTCAGAAAGTGATTCTGTGCAGATTATCAAAAGGAACTATGGGTCTATCTCGTTTTCTTTTGCCTGTTACAAACAAATGCACAAAGACATAATACCCTGACCACCTTGTGGTGTAGGATATAAAAAAAGTAGAAATACAAAACTAGTCTGGGAATAGAATTTTAACTAAGGAATAACCTATAGTAGTAAGATAAATATTTAGATATATCATGTTGTAAAGAATTGCCGACTTGCTCGCAAGTTATGGCAGATATAAGTATTGGAAATTGTGACTCATAGTGGCTGAGTTACCTTAAGGGGTTCGCAGATATATATATATATATCATATTCACAACAGATACTGCGTTAGCAAAAATGTTTGTATGTGTGAAAGTTGAAGAGGGTTGGATGCTTATTTCGCTTTCTTTGAGGGTTCTGTTACTTAATATCTTCAACCCCATGTGGGGGAGGTACTAAAAGAAATGGTCCGATCTCTACCATTTTTATAACAAATCTTGTGTTGATGAAAATATTGAAATGTGCCAAATCTGACTGGAGTCGGATGTTAGATTCACATTTCATGAGCTTCATGTATAATCAAAATTTTGACCCGTTTTGGGGCAGGTTGAAGACCGATACATCCCATCTTCACAGAAGATCTTGTGTTAGTAAAAATATTGAAGAAATATAAATTTTAAGAGAATCAGGTGCATTTTTCGCTTTTCTGAATTTTATGGCTATTCCAAATACTGATCCTTTTTGGGAAAATACCAGAAGAAGTGGATCGTTATATCCCATCTTCCCACCAGATCTTGTGTTAGTAGAAATAATGAGACGTGTGAAATATTAAGGGGACCGAATGCTTATTTCGGATTTAATAGTCGTTTTGGTCGTTCAAATTTTGGGGGAGGTACCAGAAGGGGTGGACCGTTATATCACATCTTCACATCATACCTTGGGTTAAAAAAAATATTGTGACGTTTGTAATTTGATGGCAATCGGACTCTTATATCACATTTTATGAGAGTTATAATTATTCAAAATTTTGACCCCTTTGTGAGGTCATCATTTGTCCATTTTCGCAACTGACATAGAACTGATGCAAATATTAGGATATGCAAAGCTGGGGAAAAATCGGATTATCCTCTCTATTTCTATGCAGATTTTTTTTTAAATTTCCAGAAGATGTGAAACGATATTGCCCATCTCCGAACTTGATCTAAGTTTGATAATAATATTACGATGTACCAAGTTTTTACCGAATCGGATACTCCTTTCGAGAATTATCGTTTACACCAGCCATCCAGACAGACAGACATGTAGACGGACGAATGGATATCGCTAGACTTCAAGTGTCCTGAAACGGATTGAGTCCAAAGAGACCTAGGGTCTAAAACCATTATTTCTATGAGACACCTTTTGGCCTTATCAAATGATATATACCCTCCCTAACCTAATGGCTGAGGGTATAAAATTAAATGAGGGTAAAAAGTTTGGAAGTATTCATGTTTTTAGCACTGAGTTGTGGAATTCGAAGTTACAAATTTTTACAGGCTATGGCTTGTTTTAATAAAAGTTTTTTTTTTAAGAAGATGCTGACTTTGTTATATGCCTTGTATATATACATATATACTTACATAATCTACCAAATTCTGAGCATATATATCTAACGGCAAACTGAGTGGTACTTTCTGTCCCCTCCCTATCCCATTTATTTTAATCTCACATTTAAATTAGAGCTAATAAAGACTTTACCCTTCCCTTCTAGTCTCTCCTAGTAACATTTTACTACTTAAATAACAGAAAATACGGGAATGGAAAGACAGAGGTCTTTAGAATCCCCTCCTTCAACTGTTGTCAATTTTGTTTCCATATTCAAAACAGCTGTGATCATCCGAAGCAATTTAACCGGGTAATTTGACAAGAAAATTATATTACATTTAGCAGCGGAGTAAAAGTTTCATTTCATTTTATTTACACATTTAAACGCACGCAAATCCATGATTACACTTGTGTATGGTGGTGTGTGTGTTTAGGAGTGTATATGTGTGTTTGAGTGTTTGCTTGCCAGGTTGGGGGGAAAGGAAATGTGCTCTAATCGTTTAACCGGAAGTAATTAAAGAATTTTAATGAAATCCACTTTTTTTCAATTATTCGAATTTAATTTGCTTTCGTGCTGGCTGGTTGGCTGGCAGGCGGACTGACTGGCTAGCTGGTTGGTGGTGATAGTTACTTGTTGTTGTTGTACCATATCGTTGGGATGTTTACTTTAAATGTAATTGAGGTCAATTTGGACAAGAAAAAGGAGAAGATGGAGAGGAAGGAAATTAATTGCAGAAGGGGAATAGGGAAAATATAACAAGTTGGTTAAACGATATGAAAAGATGAAACCCTTTAATTCGTTTGCTGTTAAGGAAAGGGATTTGAGTATTCTTACCTTTGCCTGGAATAATTAAGAAAAACTCATCAAATGTCCTTGCTTTATTTCTCCAGTCATTTAGAATAAATTTTATTTCTTTATTTATTATTAAAATTATTAGTTGAAAATACACATTTTAATAAAACGCATTTTAGTTTAAGCTAGTTTGTATGCCTCTGCTGCTGTTGTCCCTGTATGTTTATAGATATGCATGACTCTTTCATCCTTAGAAATGTACATGGAAATCCAAAATATGAAAATCCAGATGAAACTCCATGTGATGATCCACATCGACATTGGGCAATTCCATGTATTTGACATAGGCCAAAAATGTTGTCCAGCACATGCTGAAGAACGAAGTAAATACCACCTGATTTTGAACTGGCACCAGGGCAAAGTTCACCGTCTGCACACAGGGCCAATAGATGACACCAATGCGATAGGCATCTAGGAATTTTGTGGCGACCTAGGGGAGAGACAAAAAGAGGAGGGAAATGGGAATATGAAAGATATAAATCTAACCAGTAAGGAAAGGTCAAAAGTCGGGCGGGACCGACTATAAAAAAAATAAAAAAATAAGGACGTTGAGTTTTTAAAGTATTTTTTCAAGGACCCTCCATCCAAAAGACGTGGATTTTTTTAAAGAATATTTTTCAAGGACCCTCCATCCAATAGACTTGGATTTTTTTAAGAATTTTCGCGAGGACAATCGACCAAATAGGCGCGGATTTTTTTTAGATTTTTTCAAGGACCCTCCACTCAATAGACTTGAATTTTTAAAGATTTTTTTCAAGGACCCTCCATCCAATGGACGTGGATTTTTTAAAGATTTTTTTTCATGGACCCTCCATCCAATAGACTTGGATTTTTTAAAGAATTTTTTCAAGGACCCTCCATCCAATAGACGTGCATTTTTCAAAAATGTTTTCATGGACCCTCCATCCAATAGACGTGGATTTTTTAAAAAATTTTTCAAGGACCCTCCATCCAATAGACGTGGATTTTTTAAAGAATTTTCTCAGGGACCCTACATCCAATAGACGTGGATTGTTTAAAGATTTTCTTCAAGGACCCTACACCCAATAGACGTGGATTTCTTAAAGAATTCAAGGACCCTACACCTAACAGACGTTTTTTTTTTAAAGAGTTTTTTCAAGGACCCTACACCCAATAGACGTGGATTTTTTAAAGATTTTCTTTAAGGTCCCTACACCCAATAGACATGGATTTTTAAAGAATTTTTTCAAGGACTATACACCCAATAGACATGGATTTTTTAAAGATTTTCTTCAAGGACCCTACACCCAATAGACGTGGATTTTTTAAAGAATTTTTTCAAGGACCCTACACCCAATAGAAGTGGATTTTTTAAAGATTTTTTTCAAGGACTATCAATCCAATAGACCTAGAATTTTCAAATAATTTTTGTAAGGACCGTCGACAAAATAGACTTCGATTTTTTAAAGAATATTTTCAGGAATCATCGATCCAATAGACCTAGAATTTTTAAATAATTTTTGTAAGGACCGTCGACCCAATAGACTTCGATTTTTTAAAGAATATTTTCAGGAATCATCGATCCAATAGACATTGATTTTTTAAAGAATTTTTGCAAGGACTCTCAACTCAAAAAATTGGATTTTTTAAAGAATTTTTCCAAAGACCCTCCATTCAATAGAGTTGGATTTTTTAAAGAATTTTTTCAAGGACCCTCCATCCAATAGACCTGGATTTTTTAAAGAATTTTTTTCAAGGACCCACCATCCAATAGACGTGGATTTTTTAAAGAATTTTTTCAAGGACCCTCCATCCAATAGACGTGGAATTTTTAAAGAATTTGTTTCAAGGTCCCTCCATCCAATAGACGTGGATTTTTTAAAGAATTTTTCAAGGACCATTGACCCAACGCAATTTGTTTTTTTTTATAGAATTTTTTCAAGGACCATAGACCCAATAAATTTGGATTTTTTAAAGAATTTTTCAAGGACCATTGACCATTTTTTTTATAGAATTTTGTCAAGGACCCTCTATCAAATAGACTTGGATTTTTTGCAGAACTTTTTCAAGGATCATCAACCCAATAGACGAGGATTTTATAAAGATTTTTTTCAAAAGCCATCGACCCAATAGACGTGGAGTTTTAAAAGAATTTTTTCAAGGACCATCTATCCATTAGACGTGGATTTTTTCAAAAATTTTCTTTTTCAAGGACCATCTATCCATTAAAAGTGGATTTTTTCAAAAAAAAAAATTTTTTTCAAGTACCCTGCATCCTATAGACTATATAAAGGCGTTGTACCATAATTCCACATTCCAAAGGTACTCTATAGATAAAACCTCTAAAACTAGTTTTATTGATATAAAACATTCCATTTGAAGAAATTTTAAATGTTTTACTATCTTTCCATAAATTAAGTAACCTTTTCTCGTAATTACTTATTTAAGCGAAATACTTAATCAATTTTGTCATATTGGCTGATTTAACAGTATTCGAGTGTTCAAGTTTTAAACTTCATACATATTTTATGTTTTCCTTTCCAATCTGTTTTTGTTTATCGCAAGGATGTAGTCGAACCCGACAGAGGTGGGGTGGGGACTAATTAATTGTTTTGCATTATCATTAATTAATGTTTAAAAAATGTTTAAAGTTACAAACTACACCGGGGGGAGAAATAATTCTTCAATGAGCCAAGTTCGGTAAATTGATGGTCTGTTGGAAAATTTAAAACAACCAAAAATTAAGGAGGAGGTAAAATACACGATTGGCTCTTGCGATAAAATTTGAAAACAGTTTAAGGAACGGTATTGTAATTTATGAAAATTATACCAGTATCTTTAGAATTTTTCCGAAATTGAAATTTATAGTCTTTCACCTTCTCCTACCAAACATCTACGCTCCTGTACATACCCCTACCAAAGCCTGTGAATTTTTCAACGACATTAAGATGCTCCAATTTAAATTGCAAACGGCGTCAACAAGCATCACCAAGCACCCATCACGGGTTATTTTTTTTTTCTTCTCGTCTCACTCAGCAAAATGCTACTTAACAACGTTGAAATGTTGTTATCTGCCGTCGAATGAATGGGGCAAACAAACGGGGAGAAATAAATATAACAACAAAAAACGAAAACGGTCTTCATCATCGACATTCACATTCGTATATTCTCCACTTACCTACTTCAACGACATCATCATCATCACCGCCATCGACATCCCCACTGCTGCCAATGGTAATACCGCCATCAAGGTATGGTCGGTGAGTGTGTGTTTGTTTGCTGGCTTGCTTTGCCAGTAAAACAGACAGACAGACGGACAGACACAATACACGACGGCCTATAACGTTCAAGATGATGACGACAAAGACACAATTGACGTGTCAAGTGTGGGGATATACCGTCATTGAAATGTACTTTGTCAGTTACACGGCAGACATGGAGAGACGATTTGCGGAGTGGATTGAATTATTAACGAGGGATGGTTATACAAATTTTGAAGTTTAAAGGATGGTTCTAAAGATTATCAGGTGGCGTTCCGAATCAAGAAGATGAATATGTCTGCTTGGTCGTATAGAGACCACATAGTCTTGTTCTGCAATAACAAGGCCTACATAGAGATAACCAAAATGTCTTATAGAAAATTAGAAGATCGTTTAGACCGGAAAGTCTTCGTATTGAACGTCAGAGGATTTTCTTATAGAAGAACTAAAGATCTTCGTATTGAAGTTAAGAGCTCTTCTTAAAGGTCTAAAAGGTTTTCTTTTAGAAGTCTAGAAGGTCTACTTGTGATGACTACAAGTTCTTGCTTAAGAAACCAGGTGGTGCTCCATAAGAATACGAAAAAGTCTTCCTCAAGAAGACTAGAAGTTCTTTGTACAGAAAACCACATAATCTTCGTATAGAGAACAAGAAAGTCTCTCTTTGAGAGAACAGAAAGTCCTTTCGTAGAAGACCAGATAGCTGGCAGAATTCCGAAAAGTTACTCTTTAGAAATAGGTCTTCCGTAAAAAGGCAAGAAGGATTTCTATGAGACGATAAAACATTCCTCTTTTAGAAAGCCTTCCTTTCAAAGACCTGAAGGTCATCCTTTCGAAGACGAGAAGGTTTTCCTTTTTTAAAGTCTATGGAGGACCAAAAGTTCTTTCCTCAGAAGAGCAGAAAGTCTTGATTTAAACCTTCAGAAGATAAAGCTCCACGAGAAGACCAAAAAGTCTTAAATTAGAAAGCCAAAATGACTTCCAGAAGTAAACCAAACGAACTTCCATTAGAAAACAAGGAGATCTTCCTTTAAAAGTCTTGTAGAAAGACCAGGAGGTCTTTCATGAGAATCTGGCCTGATCCTTCATCGAAAGAACAGAAGGTTTTCCAGTAGCTCCTTCAACCAGACAATCTTCTTTGAGATGACCACGTGCCTTCAAGAACAGAACATATACCTTAGAAGATCAGAGATATTCCATGAGAAGAGCATAATTCTTACATTAGAAGACATGAGGCTCTTCCATTAGAAGACAAGAAGTTATTCCTTGAGAAGATGAGACGTTGTTCTTTAATCTGACAGAAAAACTCCCAAAAATGCTCTTGTGGAACGAAGTCATCTCGAAGTCTTCCCATAAAAAAGACAATCTTCTTAAGGAGGAGCAGAAAATCTTCTTCGAGAAGAGCAGAAGGTCTTCTCAGAGAAGAGTAGAAAGTCTTCACAGAAAAGAGCAGAAGGATTTCTCAGAATAGAGCAAAGGACTTTTCAGAAAAGAGCGGAAGGCCTTTTCTAAGCAGACCAGAAGGTCTTTTTACGAGACCGGAAGAAAGTCTTCTATAAGACGGCAAGATGAAGGTATTTTCATAAAAGACCACTTGAAGGTTTTCTTTTAGAAAACCTTAAAAGATTCTACTCTTGGAAGACCAGATGAAGGTCTTCTCATAGAATACCAGAATATGGTCTTCTCTCAGAAGAGCCGAAGGTGTTCCCACAAAGAAGCAGAAGGTCTTCTCACAGAAAAGCAGGAAGTTCTTTTCACAGAAGAGCAGAAGATTCTCTAGTAGAAGGCCAGAAGGTTCTGTCGTAGTAGGTCTTCTAATCGAAGAGTAGGAGGTCTCCCCATCGGAGAGCAGAAAGTCTCTTATCGAAGAGCAGAAGAAGAGAAGATGCTCTTTTCAGAGAAGACCTCCTTCTCAGAGAAGATCTTCTCAGAGAAGACCTTCATCTCAGAGAAGATTTTTTTCTCTGGGAAGACCTTCTTTTTAAAGAAAATCTTCTTCTCAGAGAAGACCTTCTTCCCAGAAAAGATCTTCTTCTCAGAGAAGACCTTCTTCCCGAGGCAGACCCTGTTCTTAGAAAGGACTTACTGTTGGGAAAATCTTTATTTGAGAAGACCTTCTTTGCAGATCGGACATTTTTCTCAGGAATAACCTTATTCTCAGAGAAAACCATCTTCTTGGGTTAATTTTTTTTTTAAATTTTCCCAAACTTTTCACACTCCCTCCCTACTCGTCAGCATCGTGCCAAAGTGTGCTTAAGTGGATGCCTCTAAAGCAGGTTCCAATTGTTGATTGTTTGGTTAATGACGGACTCAGCGGCGGATTGACTGGGGCTATGAATGAGTGTGCTTGGTTTTGTTAAATTGGTTAGTGTGTATAGGCCAACCGATGTGTATATCGGTAGTTAACACAAATTTGACCACGAGATGCATGGTCACAAAAAGGGTGGACCCCGTTGGGGTGAATGCCTTGAATTTATATTCGATTATAAATCTATTGTCAATAGATAACGAATTCATCCCAGAATAGACATTAATTTTTTGAAATTTGTATTTTTAAAGTCCTCAGAGATCATTCCCTGTGAATCCCCCTTTTCATTTGACCACAATTGCATTGCTGCATATTCATTCATTCAATTGCATTCTGGGCCGCCGTGATAGTCATAGTCACATGGGCTTTTCGTGGTGAGGTAATGGTTAAATTTTCCTTTGCTGTTGTTGTTGCCACTGCCTCCGCTGATGATGTTCACAATGATAATATTGTTGTCACAACGCTGCCTGCTATGGCTGCTCATGTTGGCCCCTATTCACCCTGGCCATTTACGTTGGCCGTAATGATGTTGATGCCCGCAATAACAATGACTTTGGGGAATACTTCCAAACAAAACGGTGGCCAAGTGATATGTGTGTTTCCATATAGAACTGGGAAGGTAGTCAGAAGGGGAATATGTTGAAATTCGGATAAATAGAGATCGATCTCACACATTCTTCTCAACATTTTGAACCATGCCATGCTTATAAAGCCCAAGACTTTGACATGCATTTGCTGTCGATTTTTTTTAATTTTGGCAAAAATCTTAGCCGTGGATCCTCCCATACCTAATGAGCCATGTGAGGCAGTGCGTGCATCGCATGTTACAATGATGATGTGAAATGTAATGAAAAATGCATGTTGCTTGAGTAGTGCTCATTCTTATGGACGGACGGACAGACAGACGGACGGGCGGACGTGCAACGAACAATCGAAAAAAATGCTGTTTGTTTTTGGATGCTGCTTGGCTGCGTCAATTGTTGTTATTTGCAATGTTTTTAACGTTCGTGATGGTGTTTTTTTCCAGCTTCTTCTTCTGCTCGTCGTCCTCCTCCTCCTTCAACTTCTTTGTTTCATTTCCATGTAGGATACATGAATGTTGAACGTTTAAAAATGTGTTCAAAATGTTCAATGGAATTGTTCAAAATGTTATTACATACTTGAAGCCGAACGATGGAAAAAACAATAAAACAGACAACAACTACAACAACAATAACGCACAGCCAGACATATTCATGCGGAATGAGAACATGCCATAAAAATGTTTGCTGTTCGATATCAAGGTGTGTGTATGTGTGTGTGTGTAGTAAGCCTTTTAAAGCATTCGTCCGCATCGATGTTGTACATCAATTTTTATGGCTGTGCTTAATTATCAGAGGAGTCGTCTGACGGCACGACAGACAAACAGCCATAGAGACAATGTTTGTTCGTTGATGTCTGACAAAAGTACTACTACGGATTGAGAATCACTTAAGGAATATGACAACGACAAGTTCATTTAAATTTATTTATGCCCACACAGTTTTGAATACAACCGAACCGAACCGAACAGAACCATCCATCCAACCAACAACCAAACAAACAAAACGAAATGCTTAAGTGACTGACAGACATCTCCTAAATGAATGTATGACGACCATGCATGCATGACATAGATGAAATCATTGTTTCTGCAGAGCCTTTTTAACGAGACAAATGTAAATTAAATTTTTTGAGGGTTTTTTTTTAAAATATTCGTTGTGGGGTTTCAAGGAATTTTAAACAAAGTGGAGTGGAGTTTTCATCGGAAATGAAGCTTGAAACGAAGTGAGAGTTTCTCCGGGGGAATTGCATACATAATTTCATTGTGAATATTAAACAAATCTAAACCAAACTATTAGGAACCTTTTTTTTGGTAACGAAATTTAGTACTACAATAGTTTGGGTCGGAGGACAAAAATATTAGATTCTGGAGAATCCATCATAGAAGCTCAGAGCTAAGCAGAGGCTAGTAATTCTGTAGACAAGATTTTTTTCATAGACCACCTCCAAAGACCTGATCTGTTGATCTTCTTCAAACAGCCCTAGATCTTCCAAATTATGCCCTCTGAAGTAAAGTCCCTTGGAGTATCTCTAAATCACTATTCCAAATCTTCTTGGAGAGACTGTTTCGCATGAGAAATGTTTGGCTTTTCGTTATAGATCTGTTGATTTTCTTGTAGAAGATCCATTAGGTCATCCTAAGATCTGTCGATTTTTTCAAAAAAGAATTTCAAATGGTTGCTTCAAAATCTGTCTGATCTGTTAATTTTCTCACAAAAGATGTGTAGATTTTCAAAATTTTTTCTCGCCATAGAATTTGATTTTATTTTCATCTCATAAAAAATCAGCGGATCTTCCAAAAGAACATCTTTAGGTCTTTCTGTAGAAAAAAAAGTGGATATTCTCCTAGGGGATATGGCGGCCTTCTCATAGAGGACCTTGTCTTTGAAGATATAGGTATCTTTTCACAGAAGATGTCTCGAAAGAGATATGTGGATCTTAAAGAGGATATATGGATCTTTTCATAGATATTTTCTTAGAATACATTCGATTAGATTAGATTTTTAGCTCCTTCCGCAGAAGATCTCTAGATTTTATTTTTTTTTTGGATAATCTCTAGATCTCACAAACGATCTCCAGATTTTGTCAAAGACGTTTTGTGGATCTTTCCATAAAAGATGAATAGGTTTTCTCAAAGATGATCTTTAAATATTCTCTCAGAAGAACTCCTCTCAAAAGTTCAGTTGATCTGTTCTCAGAAGATCTGTAGATCTTTTTCTAGAAGACCTGTCAAAGTTCTCCTGAAAATTCTCCACATAGATCGGTGGATGTTATCTGAGATGATCTGCAGAAATTTTCTCAGATTATCTTCTCTCAGAAGACCTGCAGGCATTTTCTCAAAAAATCCGTGGATCGCCTCTAGGAAGATCTGCAGATCTTATCCCGCAAGACCTGTAGAAGTTCGTTCTCCGTGGTCCTTCTCTTAGAGGACCTTGTTATTCAGAATGTCAGAAGATTTCTGAAAGAGGAAATGTGAATCTACTGACAGAAGATCTTTTCAGAGAAGGCATTCGCACAGATGATTGTCAGCTCCTCTCATGGAAGTTATGTAGATTGTTTTATTGGATGATCGCACAGACGATCTCCAGATTTTGTCAAAGAAGGTTTGTGGATCTTTCAATAAAATAGGAGTAGGTTTTGTCACAGAAAAGCTTTAAATATCTTCTCAGAATATCTCTTCTCCAAAATTCCCCTCGAACTGTAGATTTTTTCTCAGAAAATCTGCAGATATTTCCTCAGAATATTTTTTTTCAGAAAACCTGTAAATATTTTTTCAAAAAAAATCTATAGATCGTTTCTAGGAAGATCTGTAGATCTTATCCCGAAAAATCTGTAGAAGTTCTTTTAAAAAATTGTAGTTTTTCTCTCTGAGGATCTTAAGATCTTATTTCAGAAAATTTCAGAAGGTCTTCTCTAACACGATTTTCATATATTCTCTGATATGTAGATCTTCTTTCAGAAAATCTGTAGAAGATGTGAAGAACATATTATAAGTAAACTGTTGATCTTCTCATAGATGATCTGTAGGCCTCCTCTTAAAAAATCTGACGATTTTCTCCGTGTAGAAGTAATATAAAACCTACAGGTGTTCCTCTAAATGATTTATAGATTATCTAATACATGATCTCTCAATCTTCTCAAAGAAGATCTTTGGGTTTCATACCGAAGATTTACTTACAGAGGATATGTAAAACTTATCGGAGAAGATCTGAAGATCATCTTCTATGAGATGACCTTCTAATCTTTGCTTAAATTTGCTCGATTTTACTCGAGAGTGAAAAATACTAGTGGGAGCAAGTGCTTGAAGAGCAGGTGTTCTACACGAAGTTTACTCTCCACTTTTTTGTTTTATATGAGAGCGCTCGCGACTTATACCTGCTTGAAAAATAAGAGTGAGAGTAGAAATTCTTGAAAAAGAGTAGAGTACTCTGAGTGAAATCGAAGGGAAAACATTTTTTTTTTGCTGCAAATAGCAGAAAACGATCAAAACACACTCACTTTTATTAGAGCGGTCTGGAAATAGAGGGAGCATACTCAATTGTTTTACTCGCAGGAGTACATCCGCTCGAAGTCGAGTAGAGAGTAAGCTCTGCTATCTAAGAACTCTGTCGTAGAAAATTGTGATTTTCTTTGTTGATTTTTTATAAAAGAGTCACCGATTTTTTTTGGAGAAAATCCAGGGAAGAGAATGGCAGATCCATAGATCTTCTGTTCCTTATCCTTTAGATATGAAATATATAGTTCTTTTGTATAGTTTGAGAATATTTTCAAAAATGTTCTGCGTATATTTTCAATACCGTTAGATCTTAAATTGCTCAAATCAATAAAGTCATTAACTCAGGAGATATTTTTGTCTTATTGCCACCATCTGCAAAGTGGCGTTGCTTTCCTATCAATAAAGTGTTCCAATATAAAATAATTAGCGCAACACTTACCTCATGCTTGGCTTCCTCATACGTTTTGCCCTCCATCAGACTCATGGTGAAGAGAAATGTACTAATGGCCATTGGATCGTAGCCGGCTTGCTCTGTAATCGCTTTGCAAAAAGACGATTTGATGTCAGTGCGTGGCCACATGATAGAGGCCAGACGCATCCATGCATAGACTGTGGGACCCATAAAGAAGCAACCGAATAAACTGAATCTGTCAATAAGAGAAGAAATACAGAGCGAGAGAAAGAGAGGGGGAGAGAAGAGAAAACACACTCAAGTTATTGAAGTCCAAGTCCATTAAATACAATAAGAGTGGGAGGCAGGGATGGATGGATGTGCGGATGCATGGTTGGATACTCCTACCCACCCACTATCAATACTGCTGATGTTTTTGTTGTTGACTGTTTACACAGGGGTGTCAGTGCAATTAATGACTGTTTGTTCAACTTGATGTTGGGTGTGGATTGGTTGATGGCCATCGTTGTTGGCAGTCGGCTTGTTTGTCTCTGTGTCTGTCTGCCTGGCGGTCGCTCAATTGGTCCCAGCATGCACACACTACACGTTTACTGTCTGTTTCCGGTGTAATGCAATGGAGTCTTGAGCCCCACACAGACACTTGCAGTCATTTATGGGTCTTTGGTTAATTAAGGTGTTAATTATTGTTGATCAATGTTCGGAGGGTGAGTGGGAGTGAGATGCTTGTCATGAATGACTGTTGTTTATATTTTCAATTTTAACGAATGAATCCAGAATCAACAAACCCCAAACTTACTTAAGACATTTCTTCCAGTCATATGTGCGGAATGTCCGTTTCTCGATCAGTGTTTGCTCAGCCAATGAACCACAAGGCCACAGCAGGCCATAGGCTAGCATGCCACGCAATATCTTGTATTTGTGTGTAAATTCTGAAAATTTTCGCAACATTAATATGCGCATTTTTGTTGCTGTTTTTGGTCTAGGAGAAGGTGCGGGCGATTTTAAATTTATTTAGAGTGGTATTTTTAAGGTTGTTTGCAGGATATGTGTGATTGTGCTTTAAGCAGGAAAGTGTTCCTTTTTTTGGGGTTGCTTTGCGAATGATGTTTTTTAATACTGGTGCTACAAAGAAAAAAAAGGAGGAAGAAATCTCATTAGTACGATATGAAACAAATTAAAGACCACGAAAAAATAATCTTAGAAAATATGGGTATTCTCATGGTGAAATTTGGTGTAGAATATTACTTCGTTTGACACTTTCTATCGAAGCGAGTTATACCCACAGTTACTTTTCAGAATCTTCACAGAATCACTTTCTGAGCCGATTTATGCACGTCAGTCAGTCCGTCCGTTCATGTGTTCTTGTGAACAAAATGCAGGTCACATTTATTATGCGATTGAGATGAAACTTTGCAAACAAGATTTGTTTGGCCCAATTACGAATCATATTGAAATTGGTGAGAATCGGTTCAAATTTATATATACCTCCCATATATATCTTCAACCGATTTCGAGTTAATTGTGCACAAATGGCAAATATTCGTCCAAATGACCTGTATTTTGGTACATCTCACCGAATTCAGTCTAGAATCAAGATAATAAAAATTTGGAGAAAATCGTTTCAGATATAGCTGTAGCTCCCATATATATATGTTTCATCCGATTTGAGGTTTTGAGTCACATGCGAAATATGCACTCCAGAAGAATGAATGAATTTGGTACAAGACATCAGATCCTGCTCGAAAATATCTCTGTCATATGAATTCATCCTATAGTGCTTCAAATTCGGTCCATTCAGATATAGCTCGGTTCAGATATATGTAACTATAGCTCCCATACAGGGTGTGCTGAAAAAACTGCAACAAAGTTAAACGCCATAATTTTTACAATTTTTTTTTAATTTTATTGAATGAAAGTAAAACATGTCGGAAATAACATCGGATTTTAGAATAAGCTTAGATTTGTTTGAATTGGTCACCTTTGGCACGAATTATGATCTCCAAATGGCGTATGAAACCGTCACACATTGCCCGAATGTTGCTCTGCGGTATTTTGGCCCACTCCCGGCGAAGAGCCTGCTTGAGGTGATCGACACTTTGGTATTTTTCAGTGCCAACCTTGGTGCCGAGTCCTATTGGAATGTCCAACGTCTGCGGCCAAATGTTTGCGTGCCCAAGGCTTCAATATATTCGGCATGTATTCTGATGCCACGGTCGATTAAAACGAGCGGAGAGCGACCATCGGCTGTTATGTCGGCCCACACCATCACCATGGCTGGCGCTTGAGTTCTGGTGGTCAACCGAAGGTGCACATTTTCAGCTAACCTCTTTGGCCAGAAAATACGATCATTTTGTTTGTTTACAAACTGCTGGACAACGAATGTTTTCTCATCGGAGAAAACCAAATTCGGCAGTTCACCACTTTCGGCCAAGCGAAGCAACTCTTTAGCTCTTTTGAGTCTATTTTCTTTCTGTTGTTCTGTTGCGGTGTACGTTCTTGCACTTTTCGGAATTTTAATGGCCTTACCCCGAGCTCATTTTTCAATATTTGCCGTATGAAATATTGCGATATGTGCAGCTCACGATCCATTTTTCGGCCATTGCGACGCGGGTTTCGATCATGTCGCTTCTTTACTTTTCGAACCATTTCTGCTGATGTTGCTATTTTCTTTCGTCCGCTTCCTTGACGTCGGGCTATGCTACCAGTAACGAGCGATGGTACGATACGCAAAAGATTTATTGACATTTAAATGCTGAAGTGCTCTAACGATAGTCACTTGTGGGTTTTCCAGCCACATATAAAGAAATCACAATATCACGCTTGAATTCCATCACGAATAACTTTTTTTCTGGAGAATTCTCACCAAAATGCTTTTGTACGCTTCTAAACAATATAATAAGCTGTCACTGGCATAATTTTAACAGCTGTCAGATGAGTGGCTTAGAAATGACAGCAATCTAAAGTTGGTTGCAGTTTTTTCATCTCACCCTGTATATATGTTTTATCCGATTTGTGGTTTAGAGTCCCTCACAACCGTAATATGCACTTCACAACAATGGTTCCAGATATCTGATACAGCTCTGAAATAAATGTATCGAGTTTTGTCAAAAATAGTTCAGATGTGGATATAGCTCCCATACATATCTTCAATCGATTTCGGGTTTATTGTACACCAAATGGCCAGAATCAGTCCGAAATCCGATTTTGGTACATCCAACCGAGTTCGGTCTACAAGCAGGTACATCGAATTCGGAGAAAATTGGATCCGATGTAGCTGTAGCTCCTATATATATGTTTCATCCGATTTTAGGTTTTAAGTCCCTCACATGTGTAATATGCATTCGATAACAATGATATTTGGCACCAGATATCTTATAAAGTTCGGAAATACCTTTGCCAAATTTTATCGAGAACGGCTAAGATTTGAATATAGCTCCCATATATATTCTTAATCCGATTTCAGGATTATTGTGCAAATAATAGCTAATATCAGCCCAAATGCAACTCGGCTCCGATATATTTTTTATACCCTCCACCATACTATAGAGGGTATATTAACTTTGTCATTCCGTTTGTAACTTCTCGAAATACTCATGTCAGACCCAACAAAGTATATATATTCTTGATCAGCGTAAAATTCTAAGCGATGTCCGTCTGTCTGTCCGACCGTCTGTTGTAATCACGCTATCTTTCGAATGAATTGAGATAGATGGCTAAAATTTTGCACACATGTTTATTCTTCCAGTAGGCAGGTTAAGTTCGTAAATGGGCTATGTAGGTCCACGTTTTCATATAGCCCCCACATAACGGTACCTCCCTATATTCGGTATTTTGATGGTTTTAGCGTAATTATTAACCGGAATTGTTTCAAAATTGGTATTTGAAGTTCATTTTGGGAACTACAGTCTGTGACAGAAAATTGTCTGTGCTGGTCCAGGTCTTCGTATATTCGGTATTTTGACGATTTTAGTTACAATATTCACCGGAATTGTTTCAAATTTGGTATTTGAAGTTCAAAATGGATACTACACCCTAAGACAGAAAATTGTCTGGGCAGGTCCACGTCTTCGTATAGCCTCCATATAACGGTACCTCCCCATATACGGTATTTTGATGATTTTAGCGTCATTATTCACGGGAATTGTTTTAAATTTGGTACTTGAAGTTCAAAATGGATACTACACCCTAAGACAGAAAATTGTCTGTGCAGGTCCACGTCTTCGTATAGCCCCCATATAACGGAACCTCCCAATATTGGGTATTTTGATGATTTTAGCGTCATTATTCACCGGAATTGTTTCAAAATTGGTATTTGAAGTTCGTTATGGGAACTACAGTCTGTGACAGAAAATTGTCTGTGCGGGTCCAGGTCTTCGTATGGGCTCCATATATCAGTACCTCCCTATATTCGGTATTTTGACGATTTTAGGTACAATACCCACCGAAATTGTTTGAGATGTGGTATTTGAAGTTCGTAATGGATGCAACAGGCTGTAACAGAAATTTGTCTATGCAAGTCCAGGTCTTCGCACAGCTCCAATTTAACGGCACCTCCTCATATACGATATTTTGATGATTTTAGCTACATTATTCACCGTTTATTTCAAGTTTCGAATTTGAATATGGTAATGGCTTATGACAAACAATGCCTATGTATGTCCACGTCGTATAGACCCCAATATAACGGCTATATTCGGTATTTTTAAAATTTTAACAGAATTTTTTAAGGATTTTATTTTTTGAAAATTTCCAAATTCGTTGCAAATGGCGGAGGGTATTAAAAGTTCGGCCCGGTCGAACTTACTACTCTTTAACTTGTTTATTTCAATATAATCCTTCTCCAAGTGATATCATGCTATCTATAGCAAATTATAACTGCCCTAAAAGTTGATAGGTGATATAATCTACATGAAATAAATGCTCTACTAAATATGCATAGTGGAGTAGAGTCGATCTTCCGCCCGACTTTTGACTTTTCCTTAAAGGTTTTATAAACGCTTATCCGTAAAATACTCGAAAAATTCACGATTATCTTTTAAAATAGTCGTTAGATCCATTACTATCCTCAAAAAAACTTCTTCAAAATCACCCCGAACTGTTGATTCTTCAAAAAATTGTCCTTAAAAATTCACAACAAGTTACGATATTTTCTTGGAGTTAATATCAGTCATTCTATGGAATGTCCAATGTTTATGGTCATAGCGATTAAAATTGGGCGTAATTTTAAAGTACTGCTGTTTTTTGTTGTTTTATTTGGTTTTAGTCCACACCCAAAGCAAAAGTTGGCAAAGGCCACATTTGGGTGCTACACCACTCGTTCATGTTGTCTGTCTTCTCAGGGTAATTCCATGCATTTAAAAACACATTTGGAAATTTCAATTCACTTTTAAATGCCAACAAATGTTGGTGGGTAATCTCCGGCGTCCGTCCGTCCGCCCATGCAATGGAAACAGGAAAAAAATGGAATTGCTGAGATTTACAATAAAACCAGTCCAAACAACCTAGGAAAAAGGGTGCACAAGGCATCTTCAGCTTTTCCAAAAAAGTAAAACAAGTACCCTCATTGCTTGGCATTCATTGGCACAATATCCTCATCATCCTCATCGTTTGCCTCAACATCTTAAATTACTTCATGGCGGAAATTAGCCTGAGGTGGTCGCTTTTATTTTGGTGTTTTTGTTTCTCTCAATTCTTTTTTTTGGTTAAGGTTGGCCAGGATGTTTATGATGGTTGGTTGGCTCGCTTGATAGCTGTTCGTCGCCGTTTTGTTTGTTTGTTTTGTAATTGCATGTTGACGGGATATTCTCCTTCACACCATCATCATCATCATGGTCGTCGTCGTCGCCGTAGTCATTGAAAGACAGCGAGCACTACTTCACTTAATTACTTTTGGTAAATCGTAGGATTTTGGATTTTCACTTTGATTTTCATGTTAAAGCAATTTGGCAGCTGTTGAAATTTTCAAGAGATGACATTTAAGCAGGCAAAGGGAAAGGAAACCAAGTATATGTGTATAATTTCAAATGCCACACACACACACTCGCACTCACATATCTTTTGTACAAGTATTTAGAAATAGAAGTGGGAAATTTCTCATTACCTCTTTTTTGGGACAGACAGTC